ACCTGTGAAGTGGGTCTGGGGAGTGGAAAAAGTGCTTCCCTGCTTGGAAATCTCCACCTGGGGCAGGGTTTTCCTCACCCAGTCAGTCCCATGGGGCTGGCTAACAGTGGAAGCATCTTTCCCAGCTGCTTCAGACCTATAGTGCAGGCCTGGGGCAGCAGTGAAAGTGGGGAAATCACATCACCCACTTATCCCATACCATCAAAGACAGGGATAACATGCTTTGCTTAACAAAGTGGATCAGCTGTGTTGGACACATCACAGCACTGCTGATCTGCTCCATTTGGTGAAGTCTATTTCACCCAAGTAGAAAGAGGCAACTCCTGCAGGCAACCAGTAGAGAGCAGTAAGCCACATACAGCTGAGATAAAAGCCTGCAAACTACTACTAAGGAATAGGGCTGTGCAAAACAGCCTCCATCGAGCTGGGGTCAAGGAGTCAGCCCAGCTGGGCTGCGCTGGGAATGGAAAGAAGCCCAGCTGGGCTGACTTCTGGACTCCAGTACTATCTAGCGCTGGGGTTGGGAAGTCAGCCCAGCTGGGCTGAGTTAATTTCCCCAGCGCTGTGGTCGAAACATTTCGACCAGCGTCGTTTTGTATCTAGGCTGTTCCGTAGCCCTTTGTTTCATTTTGATTTTGCTGTTTTGACCTCAAAATGAGTTGAAACAGTGTCGAAATGAAACAGCCAGCAAAATTTCACACAGCCCTACTAAGGAACTCCTGTGCTTTATCATAAGAGGGAGAGGTGACCAGAAGTGAAGCCTAGAGGCTATATGAGCCTGGCTCTTGGGTTGAGAAGTCACTCTAGCCCAGGCTGGGTTTGTGGAAGAATTTATCTGAAGCACTAGGAAAAGGAGAAGTTGGGAATCTATGATAGTCTGTCTGAATTAGATCACAGTGGGGAGAAGAGTTCCTTTGAGGGAAGGCTCCAGGCTGATGACTGGGGGCTACAAAATATAGGCAGTAAGGTAGCTTTGAGAGGCTCGTATAGGGTAGCCAACTAGCAATGGTGGCTTTGGATGTGTTATGTACTTTCCGAGTTGAGGGGGGGCAAGAGTTGGTTGGTCATCTTACTTGTAACAACTTGATGGTTCTGTCTGTTAGCCATGAGGTATGGGGGAAGACTTCTGCAGGGCAGTAAGGAGGTATTAAGAATGCCTGGCTAAAGGGTACTCTAGGCTGGGCTGGTTGGTGTGGGGGTAGGCCAAGATTGATAACACCAATTTGGGAGGCAATGTCAAGGTGTGGTAGGCAAAGACAGGGCAATACCCTAGTAAGTCAGAATGCAAAATAGTCTTGGGGTGGCTGCCAGAGGGCCCCATATCTATCTTTGCAGGTGGCACCCATTACAATGCTTATATTCACCTTGCCTTAAGCATAGACTAGCTCTTTGTAGCTTGCTTCTGAGAAGCCTAGCTAGGCTGCCAGGCACCTTCAAAGATATGTGGACAAAATCAACTGCTGCAGTCAGGGGCATCAGAAGCAAAGTCTTAGCTAAGCTCCTCAAGTTTGGCAGCTTATACACAAACTTCTTATTTGTTCTACCTATATGGGAAGGCACTCTTCATGTCTCAGGATCTTGGGAGAGGAGCAAGGTAAACAGTCACACCTGTAGATGTAGCTCTTGCTCTGCTGCGGAGCAAATTCAGAAGAGTTTGCTGCAGCACCAGGCTCAGTAGGCTAATCCAGTCAAGCGGAGAAGCCAAGAGCACTGGCCACAAGCCTTGCTCCCATGATTGGCACTATCCTTTAAGACCTGCCCTGAGTAAGGCAGACATTTTTCTTATGTATGTGGACATTCATTATAAATCACAATTGCTGCAGTGGGAGACCTGAAGGCTTAATTCTCAGTTCTCCACTCGGCACTAAGGGAGAAAGATCCCTGTGTTCTAGAGCAGTGCTTCTCAAAGTGGTGGTCTGCGGACCGGTGCCAGTCTGCGAGCCACCGGTCGCCGGTCCGCAGCGAGTTGCCAGGAAAGAAAGAAATATATTTTCAGAAGCATAACCTTGATATGTCATAATGCCACAGTTCGTACGTTCCAACACTGCAGGTGACGTCATGTCATGCGAGGTGAGGAAAGAGAAAGAAACAGCCGGTCGCGCATTTATGAAGCACTGTTACACGTAGTTGCTGCCACCGGCTGAACTAGGCACTGGCCCCTGGCCCACTGGAAAAAAAATTGCCGGTCTGCCACATCAGATAGTTTGAGAAGCACTGTTCTAGAGCCATGAAGACTGTGGCTGGCCCCCAGGTAAGTAAGACTTTTTTTGGGACTGTTCTCTCTCATGCCTTCCTTTTCATGTTCCTGCCTCGCCCCGTAGGAAGCAGGAAACAGCCAGAGGGCAATACACTCTAGACCTGTATGTGATCTACCCTCTGCCCTGGAGTTGGGAGTTGGGCTTGCATATGGTCCTTTTCCCAGCTTTGGTAAGGGAATTATTAGGGGCCACTTCCATTTGCTTTAAGCCTTCTATATAGCATCAGGCCCTTGGGACTAGATGTTTTGTAAACCTGAGGTAATTCGGTAAGGCCTTTTACATATTAAAGAATTGAAGAATAGATACAAATACCCAAATGTGTATATTTGATTAATTAATATTCTTCTACTTGAGCACAATATAGTGACTGTCACTGTTAGCAGCACTGGTCATGAAGGTGTTAAAGGAACAGGGATCACCTAGCATCTTTATGGGCCTGAGCTTCTCTACCTCTGCCTTTATGGCTGGGGCACTGGCCCTAGCTGATGGTCACAGGGTCTTGTGACCACAGTCCTTTTTAGCAGTGAGACCATGTTGCCCAGTGACCTACAGGCAGGATTTCTCTTTCTGCATTCTTGGTGAGCAGGGCAGAATTTCCAGGATCTTCACCCCATTTCTCTTTCTTCTCCCTCATCCCCCTCACTCCCATTTTCCTTGTCTCTTCTTTCTGTTTCTGCCCTTCCTATTTTCTCTCACGCCCACACCATTTTCAATAATGTTTGGGCAAACTCCAAGTTGCTGCTTTACAAATCTCCAAAATGGAGACCCTACAGAAGGCATCAGAAATAGCCTGAGGTTCGTTGGAGTGCATTTAGATCACAGAGTCCAGTACAGCTAGAAATGTAGTTGGAGAGTTTGAGGTCCAGAAGCCAAACCCTTGGATCTCTCAACTATCCCCACAAAGAAGCATGGGGGAAATAGGCCAGAGTTGTTTCCACATCCAAAGTGGCCTTGGACTTTGAACTGTGTAGCTTTTGGAGGAAAGATCACTAAAGGAGTTTTTTGCTCAAGGTGGAACTTAAACAGGCTTTGGTAGGAATATAGGGTGTGTATGGAGGACTCAACTGGGTCATAAGTCTCTAAGAAAGCATACTGTGCAAAAGCAAGAACTTAGGAGAAGAAAATCAGGAAAGCAAATGAGTTGCACCTGACAAGGGAAGTTAAGGAAAACTGGATTCTATAAATACTTTGGTCAGAAAAATGTTTTCTTGTGTGCTGCACCCCCTGCCCACTCCCAAATCAACTGCTAAATAGCCAAGAAGTTCCATTAACAGAAGAAGATGCAAAGAAAGAGGAGCTGTTTGACAAATACTGTAGCTTTGTTTTTCACAAAAAAGGTAAGTGGCAACTAAACAGCTAATCAAAATTGTATAGGCAAGGAAGGGGAAAGGTCAAAGATCATGATAATGAAAGAAACTGTAAGAGCTTTGATTGGCTTAACTGAATTCAAGTGAAACTTGCCTGATGAACTCTGTCCCAGGGTGCTGAAGGAACTGGCAGAAGGGACTTTAGAGCCCCTAGCAATTGTATTTGCACAATAGCAAAAGACAGGTGAAGTTCCAGGGGACTAGAAAAGGGCCAACATAATCCTTCTCTTATTGAAAAAAAAATAAAAAAATCGGGTTAACCTAAGCCCCTGGCTGCTGCTTCTGTGTGATATGAAAGGAGTATGACTACCACTATACCCGCTCTGCATCTCCTCCTGCACTATGGCTAGAACTGTCCAACTGAGACTGTTCCATGGTGGGAGGCATCTGGTGCCAGCAGCAGGATCTACAGGGCTCCCTGACAGCCTGCCCTGGGCCACTGGAGCTGGTACAGCACTTTCCTACTTTCCCCTGGGGGTGCAGGGGGAGGGGATGCAACCAAAGACTGAGATATTGGGCGTGCCAACCACCGGATGGAAGCATAAAGCTGTTCAAGTTGGCGTAGGAGGAGAGAGATCTTCCTGATTGGAAATGCTCTCAGCATTTTTTCCAGAAGAGCTCTCTTTCTGTGCCATTCCCCATCCCCTACTTGAACCAGTTTTCTGCTAGGAGAAAGGTGTTCCTCTCCACACAGTGTAATGCCTCCCACAATCTTGAGTTTTCTTCCTCATGTGGAAACTCTATCCTGGCAATTTTCAAGAGCAGGTTAGACATGCACTCAGCTGGGGTGGTTGATCCTGTCTTGAGCAAAGGCCACAATGACTTCATGAAGTTCCCTCTAACTCGGCTTTTGTATTGGTTATTTCCCAGCTTAGTGGTTAAAAGCTCTTGCACAAAAAGTGGGAGACTCGCATTTTAAGATGTCCTTACCCTGAGCAGACTTGAATTTAGATCTCCCCCTTTTTTTTTTTCTAGGAGAATACTGTGAACCCCAAGTTATACAGTAGAATAAATAAGGACGTTTTCCATCTGTCTTATTGAAGCCGAAGGAAGTTTACCATGTGATAAAGGCAGTTTCCCTAGCAGGGAAAATATCCTTGGTTCTTTTCCTTACTATCAAGCTTGTTTCTGTTTTTTCAGTCCATGATTGTGTAATATAAAACAAGGAACAATTGAAGGAACCTGCTACCATAGCCTAATGGTTAGGGTACTCTCCTAACACAGATGTAAAGGTGTTAAACACTAGTAGTTAGGGGGACTTTCCCATTGTTGTAAGTGATGCCAACTAAGTTAACTTGCATTTGGGGAAATGTATAAATTTACCTCACCATACCTAGTTGTCTGTTTATAAATTTTGGTCTAGAAAACTAGGAAGTACAATGATTCCATGGCTTGGTTTTTCTTTGAATTGTGAAGTGTGTTTTTTGCCCATGATGCTGCTGTTTATGATAACTTCACAATGGTTGTCTTGACTACAGTGTTGCTTGACTTCGCTCAGTCCTGTATCTGCCTTGCGTGAGCTGACCATCCACAGTACAAATGCAATGACAGCTCCACAGAGACACAGCCTCTTTAATCCTGAACCTCACTACATCCCAGGGTAAGTTCCAACTTTCACAGAAGCAGTATGTAATTTTTAATTGCAGAAAAATTTGATCACATTAAGGAAAAATATTGTTTCTATAAACTTCAGTATTTTTCTTTTTTATAATTACATTGTTCAATAGGGATTTTAATGAGTGAGGAAGGGAGTTCCATGATGGTGGGGGGAGGAACTGCATAATATAGTGCACTTAAAGACTGCGAATGGAATTCTGTTTCCCTCTGTGTACCTGAAATACTGGCTTTCTTAATATATGGATATTCTTGACTCTGCCTCTCCTACTGTGGATACACAAGTATGTATGTGTAGACTGAGCTTGCTTATACATACATGTGCCTAAGCATAAGTCTGTGAAGAATGGAGAGGAGGACCATCCTGTGTTTTAGCTCCAATAACTGAGTGGTTAGGGCACTTGACTAAGTAGGAGACCTGAGTGATAGGCCTCCCTTGTGCTGTATGGAGTTCAAATTGCATTGCTCTGCTTACCTAGCACAGTGTGGTCAACCTTCTAGCTGCGCAGGCCAGATAAGTAGCATGGTGTCATTCTGTGAGCAAGAACCTGCATGGTACTGGTCCATGGGTGCACAGAGTGGTCCAGTCTGACTTTTCCTCTCCCCACCCCTCCAATCTGTTGGAACAATCTAGCATACATGGCCATATTACCTGGCCCATGGGCCTCCCCATAGGTCCAGAAATTTTGCACCAGGGGAGGGGCAACTATCAATGCCACTGAAAACTTCTGGACATGTGGGGAGACCCTGTGAGCTAGGTGACCAGGCTTATTTCCAGCTAGATGACCTGGTTCTGTGGAGTGAATCTGGCTCACAAGAAGCTTCAGCAGGGCGGCTCCTACCCCACTCCTGGAGTGATGCAGCAGGAGCCATTGCTGGAGGTGTAGAGAGTGGAGCCAGCAGCCAGGAGGCTGCAGCTGTACCAGGAGCAGACCTGCCAGAAGCTGTGCCTACTGGCCAGGGCTGGTGGGCATGGGATGGAGCGTGGAGCAGGCTGCCCTGAGCAGGGCTCAGCCCAATGTGGAGTGCCATGGGGGCAACTGTGGACTGCACTGTCCAGGTAAGCTCTGCTTCATGTTCCCCCTGCATCCTTCTTCCTCGCCTCACCCCAGCTGGCCTCCAGGGCCTAGTGCCCAGGCAACTCCCCATGCACGCGCACACATACCCCCCCCCCCCCCCCCCCCCCCCCCACACACACCATATACACCTCCCCCTACAGAGCAGGGGCTGCCCCATGACCTTGTTTTGTGATCCTGGCTCTGTACACCCATCTTGCTCCCAAACACTGCTCCTAGAATGGAAAACAATGAGACTTCTTTCCTATGCTCATAGATGAGCATTGTCTACAGCACACTGTGGTGGTAGTGTTTAAACAAGAGACTTTCCTGCATGACCTGCCCACTAGCTTCTTGCGTACTTCCATGGAAGTATGGCATTGAGGACATTCCAGGAATGTCTCCTACAGTCACCCTTGACTTTGGTCTCTGATATGTTTGAGATTTTATGCCTGGGTGCCAGCAGAACTCTGAAGGTAATCTACATCAAGACAGTAGAGTGTCCTGGCACAAGATACTGCTGACATGCCCATCCACTCTCCTCAGCGGCCAGTGAGGAGGAGAAAGCTTTCTCCTCCGATGCAGTGGTGACAAGCAAGTCCGAGGTAAAGAGTGTTATGAAAAAACAATGCTGGGGACACACATCAGGGCTGGACAAAGAGTTGGGGAACAGGAGCCCAATGGATAAATGGATATGGGAATAATGGGTGGCAGCAAGACTTGGATCATGTGAGGCAGCAAGAGAGAGTGGAATTATCTGGGTACAGAGACTGAGACTTGAAACAACTGAGGTGCAGCAGAGGAAGTAGGGTGGGGCAAGACAGATTAGATGGGAGGATACAGGAGATGGGGAACTGGGATTGGCTGGGCAAGAAACCAGAAAGGGTGGAATTGGTGAACAAAAAGAAAGAGGCAGAAGCAAGAGAGTGGGACTGGGACTGAGACTGGAATTTAGACAGGGAGGTTAGGCCTGGCTAGGTAAAAATACTAGGATTAGAATGAGAAGCCTGTGGTCTGGAAACGGGTACTGGCTGAGTAAGGATAGTAGAACTAGAAATAGAACCAGGGTGGGGAGAGAACCTGCTTCCACCACAGTCCTGTCTTTAAAAGTGTGGGACTGAAAGAGTCATAGAATCATAGAAAAGTAGGGTTGGAAGGGACCTCTGGAGGTCACTAGTCCAACCTCCTGCTCAAGGCAGGATCATCTCTAGCCAACTCATCCCATACAATTGATTGTCTAACACATTCCTAATAGTACACAATCCACTCTGTCACACAACTGTGAGGCATGTTGGCCCAAAAGAACCAAGAGCATTCTAAAGTACTACAGGTAAAGCAGGAGGACAAGGGTTGTTGGTGCCTTGCTGCTGCAAGGGTTGTTAAAATGCACTACTCAAGAGATCCAAGGATGAGGACCATGCCCCCTACCTCCCACTAACTAAGCCAGTTGTGGAGCCCTACTTTTCTCCTACTACAGAGCATGGTCCTCTCCAATATCCACTTACTCTGATCTACAGAGCTCTTCTCATTTCCCAGAAATTCCCTTTGGGGTGGTGGGGAGGGGTCATAGGTGGTACTCCTGAGCTTCTAGCTGTTGCTTGTTTTGGAGTACTCTAGGCATTAGTCACTCCTAGATCATCCCTGAATAATGCTTATCCAACTTCTTCTTGAAAACCTCCAAGGATAAAGATTTCACAGTTTCCAAGGCAGTCTATTCCACTACCTCACTTTTCTAACAACAAAAAAGTTTTTCTTGATATCCCATCTAAATTTACTTAGCAACTTCAAGCCCTTAGGTCACATCCTGCTCTGCAGCAACAGAAAGCAAGGGGCGGGGGGTCCTTTTCTTTATGGATGCCCTTCAACTATATAGCAGTCTATTATTGCTATATAGTTATATAGCAAAATAACATCTAATATATTTGGTTACATCAGTCACTACTACTACTTATAAAATTATGATGAAGATAAAATTATGATATAGTGTATATGGATTATTTAATGTATCGTCTTCTCTTTATCTCCTTTCAGACCTTGTGCTTTGTTTAATTTTTTATAGTCCTCTTTACTTGCTAACCAAGTTAGTTGTCAAAGGTTCACACTGTGATTTTTCAGAAACAGGCTTTGGGCCTTCTGCTTAGCAACACTCCTGCAGCATAGCCTAGGCCCCATAAAAATGGCCAAGGCAGACAAAAAGCATCAATCTTTCTGTGGAGCTAGCTTTTAATCTGAACTTTTCAAGTGGTCACTAGCTGCATGTCCTTTATTTTCTGAGTGTTCAATTTACACCCCTGCAATCTGGGCTGTATCCCCCTACCCCAAAGTGCTAGGCACTCACAGCTGTAACACAAAACAAAGTTATCTAGGTACTGAGTATATAAAGTGCTATGCATGTTTGGAGGGGTGAGTCTTATATGTTTCAGACTGGGCACTAAAAATTTAATGGGTGCTATTCTTTATGCCTCTATTCCTCAACAGTAAAATTGAAATAATACCACCCTCTCATCTAATTTTGTTTTTCACAAAAAAAGTTTTGTTTTACAAACATTTAACTCTAGCGATGGACATCATTAAAAACCCATAATGGAATTAAACATTCACCCTATGGAACAGAGTTTAAATAATAATCCAGTAAAGAAAGGTGTCTTATGTAACACAGACAATAGGACTTCCCTTTTTCAATCTGTTTGAAATAAAACTCATTCTTTAGAAAATAATCCAGTAATGATTTAAAAATTGCTCGTACTGGAAGAATAATTACAGCCTTTGGTAAATTGCTCTAAAGATTCCTGATAATTAACCTCACAAATAAAAAATCTAGACACTATTCCTAGCCTAAATATGCTTACCTTCAGATTCTAGGTAATACCTTTGCCTGCTAGATTCAAGAGACATTGATTAACAAATGTCTTTTTTCTGTATAGTGGTAGTGTTCAAATGGTGTTGTAGCCATGATAGGAGGAAATATATGCAACAAGGATTTTTGTAGGTAATACCTTTTTATTGGATTATTTGCATAGTTGGGATAGACTTAAGCTTTCAGATCTCTCTTCTACTCCTACTGTATTTACCTGAATCCAAGATGATTCCACCCCCTGCCAATTATTAGATTCTATATATTCTATTTAGAATCTACCTTCTGTATGTTAGATTCTAAACAAAGCTGCTTATCTCCTTCCTGCCCCTTGCTGCTTATTGCTCTAGCTTGAAGCATGGAAGAGCATGGCCCCAGCCTGTCCTTGTGGCAGCAGCCTGGAAGCTCCAGCTGGGGCTCTAGCTCTGGGACTTAGCTGGAGCTACTGCTGCCACCACTGCTACTGGGCTAGGCTAGGGCTGTGCTCTGTGCCCCAGGTTGGAGCGGGGATGGAGCCTGCTGGTACCAGAACAAAAGTAAGCAGTAGGAGAGTTTGGGGGATGCGAGGAGAAGTGGTTGCGGGGAGGCAGGCAGCAGTTGCAACTCTGGCCCTGACCCTGGGTCAGGTCTGGAGCTGAAGCCACAGCTGCAGTAGCTGCCTGTCCTTCCATTGCCTTGTACTCAATTCCAAGATGAGTGGTTTGGCCCCCAACACATGTTAAATTGCAGGGGGTGGGTAGCAAACCCAATATTGGACTGAGTACATGTGGTACTTCCTTATGATTCTTAGACCCAGAGAGGTATTTCAGGTGCCTAAATTTAGACATTGTAAGATTGCCTAAAAATTAGGCTAGTGGGTCCACAGACTAAGAAGTCCATGAAAGATGGCTGTGATCAATCAAAAGTATGTGAATGCCCACACTTACAATTCAAAGAGGCCTCTACCTCCATTCAAAGTTTTTTAGCAGTCTGCAAATGAGAAAAGGTTGAAAACCACTGAAATTAGGCCCTTAAGGCAGAATTCTATTTCTCCTTGTATATGTCAATAGCAGTCATGTACCTGGGGATTTTTGGCAC